TAGCCAATTTAATGTAATTGAATCATGTGGAAAGCTTTATCAAATAAAAATTAATAAATTTTAAAAAATAAAGCAGCAGCTTATTTTAATGCTGTGTCATTGTTTACCATGTACCTGATTATTTCATAAGTTAATATTTAACTCTGAGTATCAACACAATTATCAGGAAATTCAATGTCTTCTGTGATTTCAAGCAAACATTTGATTTCACATTATCATTATGAATACAATATAGGTTTTTACCCCCAAGAATTTAGGCCATACAACTGGTTGTGAAACAGTCACTATTTACACAGACATGAATATATTTTTTCTAAGTTATACTATAATATAAGAAATACTTCTAATGAAAATCGTTACTTTTCTCATCGTTAACAGGACACATAGTAATGTTAAGAATATTAAGCTGTGCTTCACCACCTAACAAGTATTCCTGCCCGCCCCCCACAAAAAAACAAAAAAAACACAAAAACAGAACTAAGTCTGATCAGACGAGTCCAATAAGCCAAATTCAAACTGAAAATTTCTACAGGATAAACAACTTGGTTTCTTCAACAAATAAACTAAAGAGAAAAACAGAGAGAGAAAGAGATTAAAATATTGTGATCTTGAAAGACACTGAAGTGACATGAATCTGTTGGGATGTCCGGATCTTACTTGCACCCTGATTCAAATAAACTATGGGAGGAAGAACATGTATAAGAATTCTTGATATTAAGAAATTGTTTAAAATTTTATCAGTAATAACGGTGATGTGCTTACATTTAAAAAACAATTATTTTAGAGATACTTAATGAAATAAGTATAGATTAAGTTATAAATAATCATGCTGGTGGTATATGGGATGAGGGACTGGGCCATGTAGATAAATCGTTGAAACAGGGTGATGGGCATATGGGGACTCATTACCCTATTCTCTCTGCTTTTAGTACATTTGAAATTTTCTATAATAAAAAGTGGGGGAGAGAATCAGACCTAAACCACTGAAGCTTACTTTTCTTGGGAGAGAGGTTCAAACAATGTCCACAGTATTATGGATGTTTATAAAACTACCTGTGTATATAGCAAAGTAAAAAGCCCCTTCGGGCTTCAGGTTTAGAGTTATATCCAGAAGCAATTTACTTTTCTTCATGGTTCAGAGGCTTTTGAACATAAGCAATTAGAGGAAGTATTAAACGTAAATTCAATTTCCATTAGTTTGACTAAAATACATACTAGGACCAACAAAATACATGAACCACTACAACCATGAATATGGTGTCATCAATCATAGTAACGTTTCCTTGGTGATTCTGACTAGATTCTGGAAAATCAGACTAAAAGGTTATGGGATTTTGCAGAGGAATTTAATTCAGTCCTAGTATACTCTCCTAATACTGTATTTAAATTAATCTAAAATTAGGGCAATGCAGAATACTTTGTTTTTTTTAAAATTGACTTTATTGAGAGAGGAAGGCAGAACGTGCACGCAGGGATGGGAAGGGGGGAGAGGGAGAAAAAGAGAGAGAGAGAAGTGAGAGAGACACATGGATCGGTTGTCTCTGGTGCACACCTGGACTAAGGACTGAACCTGCAACTGGGTATGAGCCCTGACCGGGAATCAAGTCAGCGACCTTGCAGTGCATAGGAGGATGCTCAACCAATTGAGCCACACAGGCCAGGGCTTTCTGTTTGTTTATTTGTTAATCCTCACCGAAGGATATTTTTACATTGATCTTTTAGACAGAATGGAAGGAAGCGGGAGAGACAGCGAGAGAGAAGCATGGATGTGAGAGAGACACATTGATTGGTTGCCTCCCAACCGGGGCCGGGGATTGAGTAAGCAACTGAGGTATGTGTCCTGGACCAGAATCGAACCTGAGACCCTACAGTCTACTGAAGATTCTGTTCTACCCACTAAGCCAAACCAGCTAGGGCAATGCAGAATTTATACTAAGTTTCAATAAAATCTTAAAATTAACAACTACATTACTCTGCTAAAACCAATGGGATATTTGTAGATCTTCAGAAATGATGCAGAAGCAATTAATAATATAGATTCTACCTCTTATTAGAGTCATTATGTAACTATCACAATTAGTAATTAGAAGTTATATAATACTTTTTATGAAAAAAAACCTCAAATCTTTTCATAGGTTAAAATTATATTTAATTTTACTCAGAAAAAGAAAAGCAAATTATTCATTTTTTTAAAAAAGTAGTTATTAATGCCTTAGCTGGTTTGGCTCAGTGGACAGAGCATTGGCCTGCAGACTGAAGGGTTCTGGGTTCGATTCCAGTCAAGGGCACATGCCTGGGTTTCGGGCTCCATCTTGTGCAGGAGGCAGCTGATCAATGATTCTTTCATCATTGATATTTCTCTCTCTCTCCTCCCTTTCTCTCTGAAATCAATAAAAATAAAATTAAAATTAGTTATTATCTTTGTCAAATCAAAGAATCACTAAAACATAAATTTAAAAAGTAGTTATTAAATTATTTTAATGAACAATGTTAACAAAAAAGGCAGACTATGCAATAAAACATGGTAACACAAAACAAAATGTTTTAATTGTTAAGTATTAACAGTACCACATTATTTTCTGAATAAAAACTTAAGTAACTTATTACCACATTTTACATTATAAATCATTACATTTCTTTCTCACGGAATACAAAATGGCTACTTTTTTATTAATATAGTTTTGACCCATAAAATATAAGCCTATAAGATTAGAAAGAACCACAGTAAACATAAACTCCTAGGCCTTAAGTATATTTAGTTGGGTTTCATTGTGGCCTGATAAATCTTTTTTTTTTTTTTTTTCAGAGAGAAAGAGAAAGAAACACTGATTTGTTGTTCCACTTATTTATGCATTCATTGGTTGATTTTTTATGTGCCCTGACCAGGGTTCAAACACGCAACCTTGGCTTATCCATACAATGCTCTAACCAACAGAACTACCTGGCCAGGACTTCACCTTACAATTTTTTGACTTAACTATGATGCGAAAGCGATATGCATTCAGTAGGAACTGTACTTCAAATTTTGATGTCTTCCCAGGGAATGTTGATGTCTGTTCAGCAGCAATGATCATGGGAGATACTCTGCAGTGTAATGAGTTGCCAGTGTTTTTTGGATATTATGTTTTACATCCCATCAAGTCTACAAAACACCTGTGTTTACTGTTTCTGGTGAGAAAAGAAAGGCAATTGCTCTTGAGATAGAACTCGAGATAATGGTCCAACTGTAAGCTAACGTAAGTGTTCTGAGCAGGTTTAAAATGGGCTTTGCTGCCGGGACCGGTTTGCCTCAGTGGATAGAGCATCGGCCTGCGGACTGAAAGGTCCCGGGTTCGATTCCGGTCAAGGGCATGTACCTTGGTTGCAGGCACATCCCCAGTAGGGGGTGTGCAAGAGGCAGCTGATCGATGTTTCTAGCTCTCTATCCCTCTCTCTTTCTCTCTGTGAAAAATCAATAAAAATATATTTAAAATGGGCTTTGCTAAGTTATGATGTTCAGTAGACTAGGTATATTAAATGCATTTTTGACTCACAATAGTTCTAACTTACAAAGGGTTTATCCTGATGTAACTCCATTCATAAAATTAGAAGCATCTGTCCTGCTCTGAACCTTTACTATTCACAATCCCTGACCCAACACTACCTCTTTTATCTTCTTCAGACTATTTTCCCTCAGTTCCAGGCAAGAAAGATTACCAATGTCAGTCATCTTTATTTCATGTCCCACCAACAAAACTGTCTATATGTTCCTCATCCTTGTTTGCTTCCTTCAGTCTCCAAGAAGAAGTTTTCAAGGCCACTCCCTCCATTTGTGCTTTTGATCCCATCCTTCAGCTCTTTCTACATTATTCCATCAATTAGCCCTTCCTTCTTACGCTTTTGACGATTCCTTCACTATGTGACTTGTCTACTTTAATTAATGTGCTCGATAATCAATATAAATAAAATCATTGCATTTACCCTGTGCCTCTCCTCAGTGACCATCCCCTCTTCTAAATTAAACTTAAGAGTCTTACTTTTTTTCTACACTCTTTTACCCTCAACCTCCTATCGTTGGTAATTATTCTTGCAAAAGTTATAATCCCCTTCATTACGCAAAATTTAATGAATATGTTTCAGCCCTTATTTCTCCTGTATTTGTGATAGTTGACAGCTTATCTATTGATCCAGCAAACATTTATTGAACACTTACTGTGTGCTCTTCACTGTGTTTGTCACTCATAACTAAGGCATACGTCTGTATAGGTTTGCACTATTAAGACTCTTCTGGTATTTGGTTTACCTTCTCTGAAATTCTTCATTGCTTCTCTATGGCATTTCCTCCTACACATACCATCATGATTTGCTTTACATAGTTAAGTGCTTCTATGTTGGGGACATAAATGTTTTTGTTTTTTTATTTTTTTTATTTTTATTTATTTATTTTTTAAAATATATTTTATTGATTTTGTACAGAGAGGAAGAGAGATAGAGAGTTAGAAACATCAATGAGAGAGAGTCATCGATCAGCTGCCTCTTGCACACCCCCTACTGGGGATATGCCCGCAACCCGGGGATATGCCCGCAACCCAGGTACATGCCCTTGACTGGAATCAAACCCAGGACCTTTCAGTCCCCAAGCTCTATCCATTGAGCCAAACCGATTTCAGCCAGGGGACATAAATGTTTACAATGGCTATATCCTCTTGCTCGATTAATCCCTTTATCATTATGCAGTGTCTTTCTTTGTCTCTTATTATAGTCTTAGTTATAAAGTCCATTTTGTCTGATATAAGTATTGTTCGTTTGCATGAAATATCTTGTTCTGCCCTGGCTAACTAGCTCAGTTGGTTACGGTATCATCCCAATATGCCAAGAATGCAGGTCCAATCCCAGTCCCTGGTCAGGGCACATACAAGAAGCAACCAATGAGTGCATAAATTAGTAGAAAAATACATCGATGTTTCTTTCTCTCTTTCCTCTCTCTCTCTCCCTACTTCTCCCTAAAATCAAGAAAGAATAAAAAGGGCTTCTGCGGTGAGTGGCACATGTAGAGCAGCTTGATTGTTCTACATGCGGAATTGACACAAAGAGATTTCAGAAAGTTTTTTGGTTCTTGGGCAGCTGGTGATCATTGGTCCTGGCGCCCACAAAAACAAAACAAAACAAAACAAAAATCCTCAAACAAACAAAATAAAGTATAATAAATAAAATAAAGAAATAAAACATATATCTTTTTCCAGCCCTTTGCTTTCAGTCTGTGTATGTCTTGAGTTCTGAGGTGGGTCTCTTACAGACAGCATTATATATGGGTCTTGTTTTCTTATCCATTTAACTGCCCTATGTCTTTTGATTGGAGCATTTAAGACATTGACATTTAAGTGGTTATTGATAGGTACATATTTATTGCCATTTTTTCTTTATTCTCTCCCCGGCCCCCCTGTATTTATATAGAAAAATACTGAATAGAAAATGCATCAAATTTTCCAATGCTTCCCTGTTGGGCTTCAAAATCATATCATGAATTCAATTACAATGAAATAACTTTTAAAAAAGGATGCAGAGACCTTAACAGAATAGTTAAAAGCATGTTTTCTTAACTATAAATTCTCTAAATTCAGAAGTTTTGAAGTTCCAATTAAACAAACTTGTGATACTAAACACTAAATATGAAAGGCACCATTTACCAATCCAAGGTTTACCTGATCTAAGTACAATAATCCAAGAACTATAACAGACTTATATGAATATTATAAACATCCATAGTTTTATTTTTACTGAATACCATTTTTTAAATTTTACTATTATGTTATGGTAGCCATAGTAAAATTAAAAAGTAGAGAAAAAGGCTGGGACTGGTTTGGCTCAATGGATAGAGAGTCGGCTTGGGGACTGAAGGGTCCTGGGTTCAATTCCGGTCAAAGGTGTGTACCTTCGTTGCGGGCGTGTCCCCAGTGGGGGGTGTGCAAGAGGCAGCTGATCGATGACTCTCTGATTGATGTTTCTGACTCTCTGTCTCTCTCCTTTCCTTTCTGTACAAAATCAATAAAATATATTAAAAAAAAAAAAAGTAGAGAAAAAGATTACCCATAAACTCACTGCACTAATACAACCATTATTAATATTCTAATTTACTTCTTTCCAGTCATTTTCCTGGTCATACTTGACATACCTGTAATTATAATGCCCACAACACTATATATCTAGATTTTTTCACTTAATTTCCATCAGTTTTGATCGTAGATTTTTTACATCAATAGTAAGTTATTTCACAAAACCAGTAAGAAAACAGAGAACATCAAAGAGTTGTACAATACGGTTTACCTCATAAATAGGGAGCGTAGGGGAGTTCCATGCATTGATTCTTGATTCATTGACGTCAACAACCGTCACCCTGATCTCAGGGCACATCTGAGCTATGACACTGCACGTGGGTCCTCCGACGTAGCCCGCACCGATGCAACAGATCTTCTTAATTTCAAACATGACTGCGCTGGAAGAGACACAGTAGGCCTGTTGTACTATTGAAGACAGAAAATTTAAAGTCACCTTGCAGCCGAAACTGGTTTGGCTCAGTGGATAGAGCGTCGGCCTGCGAACTGAAAGGTCCCGGGTTCGATTCCAGTCAAGGGCATGTACCTTAGTTGTGGGCACATCCCCAGTAGGGGGTGTGCAAGAGGCAGCTGATCAATGATTCTCTCTCATCGACGTTTCTAACTCTATCCCTCTCTCTTCCTCTCTGTAAAAAATCAATAAAATATATTTTAAAGACACCTTGCATATTCATCCCAAAATAAAAACTGTCAAGGTGCCATATCTGGAAAGATTTCCTACATTCACACTCATTAAGAATGATGAAAATAGCCGAATCCGGTTTGGCTCAGTGGTAGAGCATTGGTCTGCGGACTGAAGGGTCCCAGGTTCGATTCCGGTCAAGGGCATGTATGTTGGTTGCGGGCACATCCCTGGTGGGGGGTGTGCAGGAGGCAGCTGGTCGATGTTTCTCTCTCATTGACGTTTCTAGCTCTCTATCTCTCTCCCTTCCTCTCTGTAAAAAATCAATAAAATATATTTTAAAAAAAATGATGAAAATAGTATAAAAAATAACATTCCAATTGGATGACCAAACCTGTTCTCAGCTGCACTAGTATGAAACGTATGGAAAAAATTACAATAACTGGTATTCCTGGAGAAGAGCCACAAAGATTATAATGACCAAATATTTAGAAAGTCAAGAAGCAAAATTAAACCTTACTTAGGCCTCTTAACACACCAGGACAACTTTGATTGTGGAGGTAAAGTTCAAGGGTGAAATACAAGTGCAATTCCTGCTTAAATAAATGCTGGTATACAAAGGTCAGCCTTGAGACCGGCTTAGACAAACACAGCGATAGTAAGATTAGTTCTGCAGTCCAGAATCGGCCTCTGAGATTATACTCTCTACCCAATCTGGCTTCAGCAGATTACTTTTAGGTATTTGACAGAGATCTTAAACTCAATTTCAAATTTAATCAGAAACTATGATGTAGTTTAAAGAAATAAATTTGTGTAGTAACCAAAGCTGTAACACAGATTTTTTTTTTAATCCTCACCCGAGGATATTTTTTCCATTGCTTTTTAGAGAGAGTAGAAGGGAGGGACAGAGAGAGAAAAAGAGAGGGAGAGAAACATCGATGTGAGAGAGACATATCGATTTGTTGCCTCCCACATATGCCCCAATGGGCCAAAGATCAAATCTGCCCTTGACCACCGGGAATTGAACCAACAGCCCTTCTGTGCTCAGGCTGATGCTCTTAACCACTGAATCACATCAGCAAGGGCTTGGCAGATTTTCAAAAACCATTAGTTAAATTGATTTACACTAGTCAAAATTACGAAGGACAAATTTATACATAAGAATGTCAGTTTATTCATTATAGTGAGAACAAAAACTGTCAAACTGATCAAATTCTTGGAATTTCACTCCTTGTCAAGACCTCGGACATCTAATTCATGGATTCCAAAGAAAAGAAAAATGATAATCGGAGAGTTCAGTAACTTTTTGTATATTCCTACATGGGTCAGAGAAGGCTGATCTAATTACCATGCCGGGCAAGTATATCCCTAATCTTCACTGGTTCTCTGAGTAGATTTCCCTACTGGAAACGAATGAGCTGACCAAACCATAAAAGTATCCTGGTCTGTATTATTAACAATTAACCCTGGCTTATAAATTGATCTTTAGTAGTCATAAAGAGCAGATATCAACTCATAGAGTCTAATCTCTAATGACTTTTTAAAATTGTATAAAGAAACAAAGTTTTAGTAAAACAATAAATACTAGAAACCTCCTGCAGGAAAATTCATGCACCGATGGGGGGTGGGGCATCCCTCAGCCCAGCCTGCCCCCTCGCCCAGACTGGGAGCCCTTGGGGCAAGAGGCAAAGCAGCAATCAGGGGAAGGTGACGCCCCATCACACCTCAGTGCCAGCAGTGCAAGCCTCAGCTGGACCTGGTTACCTGAGCCTTAGATGGCCCTGGGCGGCTACACAGCCACCATCAAGGCTTGCCTGTGCCTCGGGCTGGTCCTGTGCGGCTGGGGGCTGAGGGGGTTGAGGAACTCTGGAGACAGGTGTCCTGGTGGGGCTGAAGGGACGGAGTGCCGCCATCTTTGAGGGCATGACAGTCAATTAGCATATTCCCTCCTTATTGGCTGTGGGCGCTGCCATCTTTGCACCAGCAGGAGGGGCGATTAGCATATTCCCTCTTTATCCAATAGGGTGAGCAGACAGCAATACTCTTAGTGAAATACACACAAAGAAATTTGTTTTTTGTTTTGAATAGGTAATACATTCATATGGTTCAAAAATTAAATCCATATAAAAAGATATATACGCTAAGAAGTCTCGTGCCTACCCCATCCCTACTACTTGGTTCCCACAAGCAACTCCTTTATTAGATTTTGTGTATCCTTCCAGTAAATACAGGTAAATATATAGCAAATTCTAATAATTTTTTCTTCCTAAATTCAAATGATAGAATACTATATACATTATCAACATTTGTTTTATTTTCCACTTAATGCATTCTGAAATCCTATGCATTTCCTCTCTTTTCTCTTACTTTAAAAAAAAAGTTATACCATATTTCATTGTGTGGATGTACTTACCAAAGCCATGCTAAATCCGGTATTCTCTCCTTAATAATCTAATTAAGTGGGTTGACAGTTTCTTATCATATGAAGCCATAAAAATATGGTATTCTCGCCCAGCTGGTATGGCTCAGTGGTTGAGCATCGATCTATGAGCCAGGAAGTCACGGTTCAATTCCCAGGCAGGGCACATGCCCAGGTTGTGGGCTGATCCCCAGTGTGGGTTGTGCAGGAGGCAACCTATCAATAATTCTCTATCATCATCGATATTTCTAGTCCTCTCCCTCTTCCTTCCTCTCTGAAATCAATTAAATTTTAAAAATTATATTCTTGCCCTAACCGATTTGGCTCAGTGGATAGAGTGCCAGCCTGCAGACTGAAAGGTCCCGGGTTTGGTTCCAATCAAGGGCATGTACCTTGGTTGCGGGCACATCCCCAGCAGGAAGTGTTGCAGGAGGCAGCTGATGAATGCTTCTCTCCCATTGATGTTTTTAACTCTCTATCCCTCTCCCTTCCTCTCTATAAAAAATCAATAAAGTATATATTTTTTAAAAGAAGTAGTGAATAGCCCTAGCTGGTTTAGCTCAATGGATAGAGCATTGGCCTGCGGACTGGGTTCGATTCCGGTCAAGGGCACATGCCTGGGTTGCAGGCCTGATCCCCAGTGGGGGACATGCAAGAGGCAGCCGATCAATGATTCTCTTTCATTGATGTTTTGATCTCTCCCTCTACCTTCCTTTCTGAACAACAACAACAAAAAAACACACACATATATATATATATATATATATGTGTGTGTGTGTGTGTGTGTGTGTGTGTGTGTATATATATATATATATATATATATATATATATATATTTATATATATAATAGTGATCCTAGAATGAAAATGAATTGAAAGAGTCTTGAATGCCTCTTTCAGGAAAGAATGGCCATAACAATCCATGAGACTACAATTTAATAACTTAAGGTAAAATGCTGAAAGTGACCTAAGAATCAATGGCATTAATGTAGCTAAAA